AAGTGTTAGAGTGGAACCCCCTGCAGTATGTTAAGTCCACACGTGTGAACAAACAAAATAAATCTGAACGTTTTAGATCTGTACCTCTGGTGGGACGAGTGGGTGGGAAGCCTGGGCAGCACACAGGAGAATCTTTGTCACCTCTAGAAAGATAACAGTTTGTTTCACATGTCTCGTCCACAGAGGTCAAAAGGCTTTCATTTACTTCAATCGAATCTAATTCAGTGGGTCTTTATTGGCGTGGGAAAAAGAAGTTTACATTGTGAAGAAGTGTGAAAGAAAAAAGATAGATATTACACACACACACACACACACACACACAGTCAGTGTGAGTTAGTTTTACCTCGTTGATGGGGCTGTAGAAACCTCTGGACAAAGGGATAAAAATTGAAGAGGAAAAGCTGGAAAAGAACACAGCATTATACTCACTGTAAAAATTATTATTCATACCTTATTTATACTTATATCCAGTCAGTGTCCAAAGCATGATTCCCATTACAGAGGCACTGTAAGAACTGTTACAGCCACTAGCTGTGCCTATCTGACATTTAGTGCTGAGCAGGTAGTGGGTTTTTAGAGCTTTCCAACTGAAAGGACTCGGAGCGGTGAGAGTGAACTAAAACAGTAATGGTGTGGGCCAGAAAACCAAAACAATGAGCTTGATATTGCTTTAAAACTCTATAGAGTTGAGGGGAACTGTAGTGTCGAGCGATAATTCTCTGTGGGTTCTTCACTACAAGCAACTCCTTTGACATTCAAGTTGTTAAATGAGCCATTGTCAATATGAAAATATTGATTGTAGCCACTTTAAATAATTTCTAAATATAACCCATTACACAAGATCAGTGATTATTTTAAAGTTGCGCTGCATAAAAGCAACAATTTATCTTATTAGGAATAACCTACTGCACTGGTCTCTGAATCTGTTAACCTATTCTGGATAAAATGCTTTATAGAGCCACCAATATTTATGAGGGCCAGTTCTAAGTCAACTTCCTAAAAGTTGTGTACAAACTAGCTGATGACAGCCACGTCACCTACCTCATGGATTCCAACCAGTCTGGATATGAGCTCCATCAACATGATCTTCACCTCGAAGCGCTCTTTGGAGTCTTCCAACTGTTTCAAGAGTTTTTCAGCAAAATCTTAACAAAAAGAAATATCCAATGGATTAGAGTTTTGTAAACTGAAGTACAAATGCCAAATTCTTTGTGCTGGTGTTGTGGAGGTGAACCTACCTTGAGGATCGTGAATTAGATGAATGGCAGAGAAATTGAACACCTCGGCCTTTGTCTTTTTCTTGTGTTTCTGCCCAAAGAGTTAAAAAAAATTAACTCAGTTCCTTTGATCACAAATGTAACAATAAAAGTGATGCCTCTGTAGTAAATGCAACACTAGTACCTTGAGGACTTTCATTGCTTTTTCCATCTTCTTCTTGTTTTTGGTGGTTTTCTTGCCGGTAGAGTATCTCACCTTCAGGTCTCGGACTGATGGTCCTTCATTCTGAAAGGTAAAGATGATTCTTAACAAAAACAGCACAACAAATCTAAACCACATTTCTATGTCTTACACATGCACTATTCAATAATAAATCACTCCCTACTAGACTGCGAAAAATATCTTTGCTTTAATGACATCATATCTTTGGTACTTGCCTCTGATTCTGAATCGCTATCATTTTTCTCATCTTCATCTTTGCCCAGAAAGAATTTAAGACCAGCAACAAGGATCTAAAAAGGAAGAGAGGCAGGTGAGGATGTACAAGGTTGCCAAATATGCAATACAATAAGCAATGTGAAAAAAACATACCTTTGTCACTTTGGAGAAGCACGCTGTTGTAATGACATTAACTGTTTTGGCATCATTCCTGTCACACAAACAAAAAGACAATCAGGTTAAAGCAGTGAAAAATAATGAGACCTTCTTGTAAAATAAGAGCTTTATATGATTTAATTAAGTCCAGTTTACAAATAAAACCCACCATATGTTCCTTTTGTACAGCTCCATCATTACATCTAAAGAGATCTTTGCTGCTATGGGATTACTGTCTCTCAGCATGGTGTACATGAAGTTCTGCAATGTCTAAAATGCACAACATTATAACACAGAAGGTGAGTGGTGACTATTTTAGGCTGCTGTGTCACATGATATTACACACAGTCAAACATGCGAGTATGTGTACTTACGGTGTTAACCTTGTTGTTTTTGTGCTTAGCATTGATGTTTTTGATATCTGCTACGATGTGTGTGTAGAGTGTCTGTGGAGAGAGAAAAGCAAATGTTTACATCTGAAAGGGGAAGAGGGAAATAACACAGAAAACAACAATTAAAACATATGAATACAGAAATATAACAACATGAGGAAATCATTGATCAGATTTATAGATTGAACGCTATACACACGAGCATACATGAGTGAAATTAGCTTTGTACAATAATGTTTTTACAGACAAATTCACCCTCTACCTCAAACTATCACCAATAGGTTCCTCTTTCCTTATATTCAAAACTACTTAAAGATGTAATAAAATACTAAAAATACAGTTACTACGCAACATATTTTGAAATATTTCAATAAATTATTTTAATGTCATGCCAAAAACTAAACGCTATCAAATGAAGGCACCTATAATTTTTCGGCTGCAGATTATTCGGCTCTCACCTTTCGGAGAAGTTTGTCATGACATCGCAGCAGCTCAAAGAAGAGCTCCAGGAGTCCAGAGGGTTCGATCAGATCTTTATTCCTCAGAAGAATCAGCGCTTTGCAGAAGGTCTGACAAAGACAGGAAACACAGCTAAGCATGTAAATGCTCAGAGAGATGTACTTTGCATGTATATCAACAAACTCAAGTATGATCGATTATTTAATGTGGATAAGAAAAGAAGCTCCTGTGTTGACACATATTCTCACCATTCTCAGGTCCGGCTCTAGGACTGTGTGGTGATTCAGTAGTAACCCGGTCAGCTCTTGTGGGAAGGTGGACAGGTGCTGCAGGTAGCAGTGACCAACCTGGAGGGGGCAAGAAGAGCTTTAGCTACAGGACGTATAGAAGGCAGGAAGATAACACACATTACTAATCATAAACACACACACAGTTACCTGAGCAAGAAACATAACAAGATCAGCCAGCTCCTTGTTCGGCTTGTCAGGCTGCAGTTTGAATATCTGTATATTGGACTGGTAATGCCGGTACTGCTGCTGAAACTGTTGAAGGCACAAGAAAAAACACCAGTCATTCCTTACTGCAGTGTAAGGACACAGTTCTCGTATGTTTAAATTCACGAACACCAGGTGTTTGTGAATTAAACTAGTTAAAAACTTTAGCAATGTTGGGCAACAACACTTACCTCCTCTATGTACGACTGTGGGTCTCGTTTTATAAGATTCTGCAGTTGTGGCAAGTTGTTTGGCAATTTGTTGTTGTGTCGCCCAGACATGGTTAAAGATGATTTTGCGCCTTAGTTAAGAAGAAATAATGATTAAAAAATAGATTTTACAAGGCAAGCGTGGCAAATGTGTAGGCTGCCATTTAACTCGCAGCGGAAAGTACATGCGTCACGTCACAACCGGCCAGGTCCTGGTCACTTCCGCTCTGATTAAAGGAGACGTGTTTGGTTTTCTTCTTCTCAGCTTGGGCGTTTAAATTATCTAAACTTTATAATAATAACGTTGCACTCACCTAACATCTTGTATACTACTGCCGCTGTACTTGCCTCCTTGGTTGGGCACGGGGCTCATGTTGTGAAGCGAGAAACTGGTTAGCATTTGTTTGCCTGCCTCTCTGGTTACATTACATTTATTCATTTAACTTAACGTTAACTGACGCGACTTACAATTGCTTTTTACTTCAGAGGTCGCACACCTCTGGAGCAACTAGGGGTTAACGTTAAGTGTCTTGCTCAGGGACATGCCACAGTGGGGAGTTAAACCTGGGTCTCTCAAACCAAAGGCATGAGACTTATCCACTGCCCCACCACCACCCCTATGTGATGATTTGCTCTTTTCCTTTTAATTATTTTAATGTATTTTTAATCATACTGAGGATTGATTGATAGATTGTCAATACAAGCAGTGTGATGGTGTCAGTATGGCTCTGGGCAGTTGTGACAACATTTCTTACTATTTTCATAATTTATACAATCACTTAATGGGGAAAATAATCAGCAGATTAATCCACAATGAAAATGATCATTTAATTAATTACAGTCTGATACAAAAGTTTTAACCTCAACCTCTTATACTTAATTGCATGAGGAATAATCATGTAAAATAGTCACAGGACATTTTTCATACCTTTACTCAAGTAACATTTTCAATGCAGTACTTCTACATTTACTTAAGTAAAGGATCTGAATACTTCATCCACCACTGACAATAACTAGTTTGTCAAGAGGAGGAAAGCCCAAGTCCAATAAAACTGAAGATGTTTAGGATAAGGTTATTTTATTTTTAGGCATTTGTGTCAATTTTTACTCACAATAATAGTTAAACCAACAGAGTAATATTCGCTTTGTATGTTTAAATGGTTTCAGTAGAGCTGTAGAAGCGTTTCCTTCATGGTGGACTCACGGTAAAGAATAGATATGGTAAAGAGTATATCCAACATATTGAGCATTATGAGCCTAATTTTAAATGAGCAACTGAACAGCCAGAATTATTTCACTGTGATATAATGAATTTTGGCGCCACATGGTGGTGAAACTGGTTTGAGCCCAGTTTGTGGTTTATATGTAGTGTATATGTTGTAATTTCAAGTTATCAATCCTTATAACGGTGCACAGGTTGCAGCTTCTCTTCCCCAATTTTTGATAGGCAGCAAGCTGGGAAAAGCTTTATTAGGTTAATGTTTTTATAAATGAAGTTTAGAGTATGATGGCAACCTTTTTACACAGCATGAATGATAATAAGGCTGAAAAAGAATTTCAAAGTATGCTAAAAGGCACAAATGAAAAAAGACAAGGAAAATATATATTTTTTTTAAATGAAACTTTCCTCGACATAACATTTAAAATGTATCCAGTTTAATTTTCAGGAGATGAATATGTACACTTTTAATTTCATCATTTACCTCAAAGCAGTAAGCAAGTACTGTATAATAGATTTACAAAGCAAATACTGACATAGTATTCTGTCAAGGCATGTTCCAGCATCAAAATAGGATTCAAAATACACAAGTACAATTTTGTTCGACATAAAATATGAAATCACTTTCATAATTATTTTAGACTATCCAAAGAGGGGGGAGGGTGTTCTCTTGTAGGTGACAATACAAACAGCAGTTCTCATAAATGCATTGAAAGGTAGTAGCAGCCAAAGAGAGAGAACTCAAAAAGCAAACATAAAAATATAGACTTCTTAAAAAGGATTTTTACTCTCAAGGATTTGAATATTTTAAGGCATTTTAAAAACATGTAGTGTAATTTGGCAATTTCTGCCTGTGTCAACTTTCCTCCATTTTTGTTTTGCTCTTGTGAAACAGTCACCCAACATCTACATGACGACAATATGTGGTTTCTACTATCCTGAGATGTTTTCCTCTGCTTGAAGGCATCTGAGGACGTAGAGGATCACTTGATAGCAGAAAATATATTGGTCCTGTAAAAAAATAAAAAGGGAAAGTGTGTGAACACAACGTGAGCCAGCGAGGTCTAGGATCAAAAGAGTTAAGCTACTTAATATTAAAAGCAAACATTAAAACTCACCTCTGTCTGGACCATTCCCTGTCTCTGAAGTCTCATGTTCCTTACGACATCTGAAATATCAAACTACACATTTTTTTTTATTAGACTGTGATCATACCAAACAAAAAATGGCAGCTTCCTTATTTATGAACAATACATAAGATTGCCTACTTACATCAGCGTCTTTACTGATGAGACCCAGAACCACATCTATACAGATGAGGGTTCCTGATCGACCAATGCCTGCACTGCAGTGTGTGATTATGGGCCCTGATCGATGAATGTGCCTCATATAGGAAATAAAAGTGAGCAGCTGCTCGGGTTGTGAGGGCGTTCCGTGGTCCGGCCATCCCGTGTAGTTCAGATGAGTTACACGCTGTATTTCATTGGTCTGAGGAAGGTGAAACTCTTAAGTTAATGTGTCAGTGAATACAACTTTTAATTATCATATTTTGTTATAAACTAACCTGGATATCTTTGACCTCAATGATTCGGATTACAAAGTTGTCGAGATATTGGTCTTTGATCAGCGTGATCTGTAACCTGTCTCCCACGATCTCTGCTGTCCTTGGTGTGTCTGGCCAGTACCGCTGACATTTCACTTTCCCTCCTTCCACTTCCTGGGTCATCATGGCGATAACATTAGACTTCTGCTCCCAGACCATTTGCCAAAAGTCACCCAGAGTGGTGGGTAAGGGACCCTGACACGCAATGTACATATAGTTTTCATCCTTCACTGACATCTTGATGAAGTTGGCATTGATGTAGCCCCCGTCTTTGCCCAGCATAACTCGAGTTGTGTCAACTAGAAGAGATGCGTACATAAGATAATCATTTTTAAAATAATGTTTGACATTTTAGGTATCCAACTTTGGATTTAGTTAAACTTAGTAAATGGTTTTTACAATATATGCACATTTGTGACTGTTCTTACAGGGAACAATATTCTTGTAGCGATTCTTCTTCTTGTTCTCCTTCGTCTGACCTATTAAACAGTCGTCCAGTGGCTGTAGATTCTGAAGATTCTGCCAGGAAGGAAAACAGATGTTCATAAAAATGTAATGAATCACAATTAATTCACCAGCATTAAAATTCAAAGTAGATTCTTACTTCAAACTCCTGCAGCGGGACCTTCTGCTCTAGAAGGCCCCTCATCATGCGGACCACAGTGTTGAGCTTTGGTCCTGTGTACTGGCCATCAGGGACCACCTTGACGAGGGGCAAAGAGGTCAGCTCATCCTCTGTGATGACTGGCCCATCTGTACACAATGAGGGAACAAAACAGTTAAAGAAGAATTACAAATAAACATCAAAATGACAAAAGTAATGGCCAAAAACTTTTTGTCACTTAAGAAACTGACACATGTAACACACACACACACACACACACACACACACACACACACACACGACCCTATAAACACTGACACTAAGAAGGAAAGACTGACTTGTATGGAAAACATTCTCCTGACCTATTGCTTCCTCTTTACACACTCAATACACTCAATGCTCACACTAAATAAACGTAGAAATCTAGATCTCATTTGCCCACCCCAATTTTAAACTCCCCATTACACGTAATTTTAATGAATTAACATTTTAGAAAGTCAGCCATACCATCTCTTGATGTGGAGTTCATGTTTTCAATAGGCAGATCATCACTTCCCCATGTGATTTCATCTTCCTCTGGCTGCCCAGCACTCATTTGCAGATAGCTGTTAGATTAGAACATATAAACGATGAGTTGTGAATATATTCACAGTCCTAATTGTGATAAGTGTAGAGCCAAAAGCAAAAATCGTACTTTTCGCTCCTTGGATCGTCCACACTCTCCTCATTCCACTCCACTTTCCGGGAACTCTATTATAAAAGAATCATAAAAAAAAATAAAATAAAAATCAGATAGAACCAGCATATAGTTTTAATGTTTTATCAAGTCTGATGGATTTGATTTGTACCTCAGGGGAGTCTTCAGGTAAAGAAGAACCATCATAGTCGGTGTCCTCTGAAAGCTCTGCGCTGTGCTCCGTCTCTCTTTTCTGTTCCAGTGGACCACCTTCATAGTCTGTGAAAAATGGGAACGTAGTCTAGTTTGTAAAATTTACAATTTCATTGTTTGAATTTACAAATCAATTAATTCAGCATTGGTCTGCTGAGATTTCCAGCAGATTTCGAGCCTGCATGCTATTACCTGTTGGTGGTATGAGAGGGAAGCCGCCATATTTCATCTCATTACGGAGAGTGGGCAGCTTAGTCTTCGCTCCACTGTCTTCACTCAGATCTGAAAGCAACATGTAGAAGAGTGGGTTGTGTCCACGGTCAGATTATCAGAAAACTTATCACAGTCACACGAGTCACAATTTAAATACAGTGGAGTAAGACTGTAAATAATTAAACAGAAGAAAGCAATTATCAAATAAAACGTTTCTAATGCATAGAAATCCCATGTTTTGGGTTTCTGCTTGTACCTGTGTTTCCATTGCACTTGTCAGAGTTGATGGGCAGATAGGCCAGGTATGTGTTTGGGTTCTGGTCTGGTGGCCTGGACACTATAAGATGTACCAGGCCTTTAGCTTTACGGATGGTGGTGACAGCTTTGGTGTGGGACACACCGGTCATTAGTTCTTCATTCACCTGCAAGAAAAAGGAAGACAACCATAATTAAAACCCTTCAGAGAGGGCTGTGTTGTCTCAAAACATTAGAGAAAATACACACAAAAAGAAAGCATACACATGTAACATTACAAAAAATTGTTAGCCGATTAAACAATATGCATTAATTCATATATA